ACATCTTCTTAATCATATATAATCTCTAAATAAGGACAATTATAAAGTCATATTTGCGCCTAACATGATACGCTAGCACACATACAACTGAAACGCATTAACCTTATTTACATTTCACAGTTCATAAGAGAAAGAAACAAAAATATTTGATACACATATTGTTGTTGTTGTTATGTGCCATTGAGTTGGACCCGACTCATAGCAACTCCTCCTTGGGTTTCTGAGGCAGTATCACTATGGAAGTAGATTGCCCCATCTTCCTTCCGAGGAGTGGCTGGTGGGTTTCAACCACCAGCCTTCTGGTTAGCAGTCAAGTGTCTTAGGCACTACACTACCAGAGCGCCTGATGCACATATACAATGAAGAAATATAACAATCACAGTCCTTGTTTCTATAACTAGTCACATGGTTGTAGCTGATATTCAGAACTACCTTCTTCCACCACCCATTCTGTATTTCCCTTGCACCTCAGCTGGTTGTGGTTCTTTGCCTGGTGGGGTGACCCAAACCTTCATTCCTGAAGGGTCTAGGCCATTAGCAGTCATATAAGAATTGGGTTGCTGTAATTTTCCATTGACTTTAATCACAGGGCATGGTAGTACTAAGAGACATCCTAAAGAATATCCTGTATTCCAGACATACTCTTCTTTACCTCCATTATGTAATGTCAATCCAATTTTCCCTTGGTAATCAGGAGCTCTGGTAGCATAGTGCCTAAGGCACTTGACTGCTAACCTGAAGGCTGGCGGTTCAAACCCACCAGCCACTCCTCAGAAGAAAGATGGGGCAGTCTACTTCCGTAGTGATACTACCTCGGAAACCCAAGGAGGGGTCACTATGAGTCGGGTCTGACTCGACGGCACATAACAAAAACAACAACAATCAGGATCTATCACACCAGATAGTACAGTAATGCCCTTGTTTGTCTCTTGATCAGAGGCTTAAGGAAGCCAAAATGGCCGGGTGGCATTCTTAATTTCCAGTTCAATGCAGTCAGCATTGTGTCTCCAGGTGGGAGTGTTCCTCCCTTTGGGACTAAGATCTCCAGACCCACAGAGCATAGAGTAGCAGGGACAGGAAGCAAAAATTTTTTGAGTGGGTCACTAGGGGTAATAGTGAGTGGTGCCACTCCCTTTTCCACCCCTTGGTTCCTGGACCCATGAATCCTGGCTATTGGAAAAACAGAAGCATATATTGGATGCTGGTTTAGAACATATACAGCCTCCTGGAGAACATTGCCCCAAACCTTCAAGGTAATGCCACCTAACTGGCACCGTAATTGTGTTTTTAGGAGGCCATTCATAAGGATGGGCTTCCTAAATTGGTTCTCCAATTTGATTAATTGTAAAGACATTAGTGACCCTGCCTCTGTTAGTAAAGAGGACCCTGCTAATCCATGGCATGAGGTGGCAACAATATTAGCAAAATAGCACCACCAGTAGATCAACTACTTGTGAGAAATGAGGCTCTGGGTGATCACATATTTGATACTTTTCTGCAATTTTGTCAATGTGAGGAGTATAAGGAAGCTGGTTGGTTGGTCCTACTTACACTAGATAAAGTGGTGAAAGAGTGAGATGAGCTCAGGGTTGCTGAGTCACGGCTTAAACACTGCATAAAATACCTCAGTGTTTCCTGTTGTGCTCTGAAAGAAAGCCTTATTTCTTCTAGTAACAGAGCTAATATTACTGAAAAACAAACCCAGAGTCTTATTGTAAAGTTGGCTGAATTACAACGCCAATTAAATTGCCAACCAAGAATGGTGTCTGAAGTTAAAGTGAGGGCACTGATTGGGAAAAAATGGGATCCTGAAACCTGGAATGGGGACATATGGGCAGTCAGGAAGATCAGGATACGGAGCCTGTAAATTCTGTTGAATCCCTCCCATCTGAAAGGATTACTGTAAAACTGTTATGCCCTCCACCTCAGTTTGATGGTATTAGCCCAACTGTTCCTGCTGGGTCATTGCCTGAGGCAGAGGTCATGGAAGATATTCCTGAATGTTCTCAGGAACTGCCCCAACCACCCATTGTTGCTGCTAGACCTATAACTAAAGTTAAGTCCAAGCAAGCCCCAAAAGGTAAAATAGAAAGTGTGACTGAGGAGGTGATATGCTATACTTGAAAAGACCTACTTGATTTTGCTAACATGTACAGACAGAGACCTGGAGAATATATATGGGAATGGCTTCTGAGGGTGTGGGATAATGGTGCAAGGAATGTAACATTGGATCAGTCTGAGTTTATTCATTTAGAACCCCACTCTCGGTACCAAATGTGTTAGATTGGGTTCTCTAGAGAAACAAAACCAGTAAAGTTTGTGTGTGTGTGTGTGTATAAAGCATACATGTGTGTGTGTGTGTGTGTGTGTGTGTGTGT